GGCCAATTGAAAGCAATCACTAATGATGGTGTGACTAGACTGAGAGTTACGGTCAACAACATACTCATGGCTAGTAACTTTTGATTGTTGTATCGACGACCGATCATGGCTGCTGGAAGGTTCATGATGAGATAGCCCCAGAAGAAGGCACTTAGGATCAAACTCTTCGTGTATTGTGTCCAATCAAATACCTTTTATTCCACATGCACAGAATATATATATAGTATTATAGTACAGTAGAACCTCTAAATACCGGACAATCTTGCAGGTTGCTGACATTTTGTCCGCTATTTAGAGCTGTCTGTTATTTATAAGGTAAATTTTGTAAAAAAATACGTAGTTCGTTCCCCAACAAAACGTCCTCTATTTGGAGGTGTCTATTAGGGTAAGTTTCACTGTATTTGTATCAGAAAATCAAAAGATGATAAAAATATTGACAATATTCAAATAATACAGTGAAAACTCTCTATAACGAATCTGAAGGGACCATGTGATTTCTTTCGTTATAAAGAGTTTTCACTGTATATGAATTATAGACTACTATATAGATTAGTAATGTGAAATAGTCACAAAATTCTTACTAACAGGAATGTGGAAATGCGTTTCGAGTAAGAAGTCAGTAGAATTCTTGTCAGGCGTCATAGCCACTATTGCGACAGATATGCTAACACGCAACAGGTAAGCTGCGAAAAGGCATAGAAATAATAAAAAACTCTGCAGGTATCTAACGCCAGGAATTTTKCCACCTATATAAATAAAACAATAAATTATAAATCTGAAACAAATACACATATACCTATTAATGTAGTGGCACATAGATAGTATTTTCAAAACTTATCGAGAATTCAACTCCCTTCTACTCACCCAAAAAGTCAAAAGCAATAATATTTATTAATAATTCTATAATTTTATATAAAAAGGGGTCGTAATTGTAAGTACCATTTGGGAAGAATTGTAACATATACATATTTGTTACATATATTATTAAACATTTTGAGAGCAAAAAAGTTATTAAAATTAGTACCTATCTATGAAGATACGATCAATATTAATATTGATGCTATATTTTGATATAATAATATTATAATATGCAATCGTAAACATATACTTCAAAATATATTATTATTTAATATAATAAAAGTAATGTAAATAAATATTCTGAAAATGAGATAAGGTTCAACTTTGTGTTTAGTATAATAGCCAATGATT